TCCGCACTTTCAGGGATGATTCTGATGAAGATACGTCCAGGACCTTGAGTACAACTCATGGAGGAGCAAGTAGTCCCCTGTCGCACTTCACTGTCCGCACCCATGACTTCTCGAGTGGCATCAGCAGCACTTTGGACCGCATTTCGAGCAGTCAACGAAAGCACGGGAGTCAGCGCCGTGTCAAGCAGTTCTATTCAGCACCAGAAGATGAAAGTTCAGAGGAAGATTCTGAGGAGACTTTCACTCACAGGCCCGTGACTCAGTTGTACAGTGCGCCCTCAACCACTCAGAAACCCCCTAGTCAATTTTATGGTGCGCCAACAACTCGCAGGCCGTCAACAACCCAGAGACCACCAAACTCATTTTACAATGCACCTTCAACAACCCAGAGTCCACCAAGTCAGTTTTATGGTGCGCCAACAACTCGCAGGCCATCAACAACCCGTACACCACCAAGCCCATTTTACAATGCACCTTCAACAACCCAGAGTCCACCAAGTCAGTTTTATGGTGCGCCAACAACTCACAGGCCATCAACAACCCGTACACCACCAAGCCCATTTTACAATGCACCTTCAACAACCCAGAGTCCACCAAGTCAGTTTTATGGTGCGCCAACAACTCGCAGGCCATCAACAACCCGTACACCACCAAGCCCATTTTACAATGCACCTTCAACAACCCAGAGTCCACCAAGTCAGTTTTATGGTGCGCCAACAACTCACAGGCCATCAACAACCCGTACACCACCAAGCCCATTTTACAATGCACCTTCAACAACCCAGAGACCACTAAGTCAATTTTATGGTGCGCCATCAACAACTCGCAGGCCATCAACAACCCGTACACCACCAAGCCCATTTTACAATGCACCTTCAACAACCCAGAGTCCACCAAGTCAGTTTTATGGTGCGCCAACAACTCGCAGGCCATCAAAAACTCAGAGACCACCAAGCTCATTTTACAATACGCCATCAACAACCCAGAGTCCACCAAGTCAGCTATATGGTGCGCCATCAACAACTCGCAGGCCATCAACAACCCATACACCACCGAGTTCATTCTATAATGCACCTTCAACAACCCAGAGACCACCAAGTCAGTTATATGGCGCGCCATCAACAACCCAGAGTCCACCGAGTCAGCTATATGGTGCGCCATCAACAACTCGCAGGCCATCAACAACCCGTACACCACCGAGTTCATTCTATAATGCACCTTCAACAACCCACAGACCACCAAGTCAGTTTTATGGTGCGCCATCAACAACTCCCAGACCAACAACAACACACAGACCTCCTAGTCAGTTTTATGGTGCACCATCAACAACACCAAAGCCTGTGAGACAGTTGTACAGTGCGCCATCGACCACTTCGAGACCTGTAAGTCAGCTATACCGCGCACCGTCAACCCCTAGACCAGTGAGTCAGCTCTACGTTGCTCCATCAACAACCCACAGACCTATAACTCAAACGTATCTGGCTCCAGAGACTGAGAGGCCTGTAAGTCGAGTCTATGGAGTTCCTTCCAAGCAGTCTGAGGACTCTGACGAAGAGACTTCAACGCACAGACCACCAAGTCGAGTTTACGGCGCACCGGTTCAGGAGGACGACTCTGAGGAATCGAAGGTCAGCTTCCCACCAAGGGGCCACTTCTCAAGCCACTCTTCCGCCGAGGGGCAGGCCTTGTTCGTGAGGACGGAAGGCCATGAGGAAGAGGAGGGAGACAGTGATGAGGAAACTAACCTCCCAGTTTTCATCCTTCTGAAGGGCAAACAGAATCGCCGAATTCCAACAACATACGGCGCCTTTAATCAACAAAAGGATAGCGATGAGGATGAAGACCTTCGCCTTTTCTTGCCATACATCGCTGCTGAAAGTGAAGAAGATGCTTTTGGCAGCCTGAGACTGCCTCCTTCCTCGGTGCCAGGCGTTGGAAAACTGGCGGACCTGGAGCCTACTCAGCTTACTGACCAAGTCTCGGGCTACCTCACGGAGCTCGACCACCCGGGGAGTTCCAGGTTCCTCTCCATCCTGTCTCGACGCGTGGCAGAGGGCGACGACGATAGCAGCAGTGAAGAAAGTGACGAGGAAGATGAAGATGAAGAAGAGGAAGAAGTGGAGGAGGAAGAGGAAGAGGAGGAGGAAGAAGTAATTCCACAAACGAGTTCCCTTACACGCAGAACTTCCCGAGGGAGAGTCCGTGGAAGACCTGTGCACAGATTAGGAAACCAACGCTCAGCACCCTACGGCTAGGTCAGGCTAGGTCAAGGGATGGTTTTCTAATCGCATCTTGGGACCGCTACCTGTCTACGTATTCAATCGTTATATCCAAACGTTCATATTTCATTTAATGTTCACAAGCATATCTATGCGATAAGTGTCTTCTCATGTCCCATAAAAATATTAAGATGTCTTGGCTTAAAAGGGATGTCCAGTCGTTTCAGAGGCCATATATTCTGCAAATAACGTGATTATATTTTGTTAAGCAGAGTACGCTC